ACGGGGTGGACCGCGGTCAGTCTCAGGGCTCTCCGGGTAGGGAAGGGTCAGTCAGTGGCGGCCACGGAAGGGCTCTGAGTGGCGCGGGCTGGGGGCAGGCCCCGAGAGCGGGGGCAGCCGGTGACCTCGGGCTCCGCTCCGCTCCGCTCCGCAGGAGGGGGAGGAGGCCACCAGCGAGGAGGTCGTGGCGGTGGAGCCCGGGCCCTACCCGCAGCGGGGGTCGCGCGGCCGCCGCTCCAGCTACGCCTTCTCCCACCGCGAGGGCTACGCGGACCTCATCACGCAGGGCACCAGCCTGCGCAAGGCGCCCGCGCTCGGCGGCGACGTGCTGGGAGCGCGCGCGGCGACCCCCGAGCCAGAGCCGGGCGCCAGGGAGTCGCTCCGGCCGCGCGCGAACACGGGGGCCCCGGGGAGGAGGCGGCCGCCGCCCCAGGACCCGGCGTCCGCGGAGGACGCGCCGAACCCGGGCGCCCCCGAGGACCGGCCGTCCGGGTCCCGCCGGGAGCCGCCGCCCGCGGGGCAGGAGGACAGGGAGGCCCCGTGGAAGGCCCCGTGGAAGGCCCCGCTAGCGTCCTGGAGGAGCTGGTCCTCCGGCTGGCGGCAGCGGCTGCAGGGCCCCAGGCGGCGCGCGGCGTCCCTCCCCGGCCGGACCCCCGCGCCCGCCGCGCGCCCGCCGCCCCCCGGAGGCCCGCGCGCGCCCGCGGAGTCCGTCCCCTCGGGGAAGACGCTGTCTTCGCTGTAGCGGCCGCGGGAGCCCCGGCACCGGCCACCCGCGCGCGCGGCCCTCCCCGAACGCCGGGCTCCGCGCCCCGAGCCCCGCGCTCGCCAATAAAGCGGGGCGCGCCGTCCCCTGGCCTGCTCTCGGCTCCGCGTGTTCCTGAACTGGGACCGGCCTCGGCTTGGGGCCCCAAACACCGCCGTCTGGTGGCCCGATGGGGCCTCGCAGGGGGAGCCCGCCCCCACCCCAGCCTTTCTTGGGCGGGCAGGGGAGGCCCTCCACGGCGCCGGTCACGTCCAGCGCTGCCCGTGCAACCTCGTCCCTAACCAGGCTGCCCCCCCTCCCCGCCCCGGTCCCGGCTTCCCCCAAGGCACCACCTTCCGCCCCAGGCCGACTCCCACCCCCCACCCTCCGCGCACCGCCCCCTCCCCCCCTTCCGCCAGCACACAAGCCCAGGTGACTGAGTAGAAAATAATTTATTGGAGAAAAACGAAACAACAAATCCAGCACAGCAATGGTTAACAATGACGATGATAGATATATATTTTTTTTAACTTTTAAGCCTGTCACCTGAGGGTGGGAGGGAGAGGGCTTCTGCGCCCTCTAGCATTTGGGGGGACTTTGGATGACCCGGACTTTGTCTCCCCAGAAAACAGCCCTAGTGTCCAGAATTCATTAAACACTCAGGGCCACACGGCTCCTTGGCCCTCCCTCTCCCCGGGCTGCAGAGTATCCCCCCAAGGACCAGCCCTTAGGGGGGAGCCCAGGGATCTGGGGGGTTGGTGTGGCTCACACTGCTTTGGATTCAGGAGTGGAACAGCCCAAATCCGGGGCAGTGATGGGCTGGGTGTGGGGGGAGGTCCTGGAACATGCCCTCTGCCCCCCTAATCTGGGGCCTCCTTCCTTCAGGGCCAGGGGCTCCCTTCCACTACCCCAACCCGGGTTCCTGGGGCCTGTGGGAGCTCAGCAGCAGGGACACCGCCCGGAGCCCCCGTTGATGGGCACTTGGGGAGCTCTCTGTTCTCTGGGGTCCTGCCCCCCACATCCCAGGCCAGACAGGGGAGCTCCCTCCCAGCCCAGGGCCAGGGAGGCCGACGGTGTGGGTTGCGCTTGGCTGGGTGCCTGTAGGGGGGCGGGGTTGGGGGTGTCTCAGGAGGGCCCTCGGGACATCGGGAAGTTGGGGCACACCCTGGCCCCGCCACCCTGGGCGACAAGACTCGAACTGGCTGATTGTCTCTCTCCTCTGAACAAGACACTTGGGAATTCATGCTCTCGTGAACCAGCTGGGGTGGGGTCGGGGGTCCCAGGTGGCAGCGACACCCACTTGCACCCAAGACCAGGAGCAGGAGGCCCTGGATCTCCCTCCTGGTTGGTGCAGGCGGGTGGTGCAGGGACACCGGGAGGGGCAGACCGGGCTCTGGGTGTGGAGGCCCTGCAGCCTCCTCCACCTTCCTGGCCACCCGAGGCCCCGTCCCCCTCCCGCCGCCAGACCTTAGAAAGGGGGGAAGGAACACGGCTCGGCGAGAAGGAGCACCGACCGAACTCAGGCACGAAACACAGCCATGCGACACGGAACTGGGCTCTGACCTGGCCCGCCCCACCCCCCGCCCGCCCACCTAGCACATTAGTCATGCATCAAATCAAATTCCATTGTCTTTTTTTTTTTTTGATTTTTTCTTACTTTTTTTCTTAAATTACATTTGAACACAGAACACATAGAATAATAAATACTCTTATAAGACATGACTCCAAAAAACAAGGGACAGAACACGCCAGAGAACAGAAAGGTACACTCTCTCTCTTCCTGTCTTTCCTAAAGGACTCGTTTGAGTAAGAAATCTGTAAACGCAGGTCCGCGCTCTCTGCCTCTCGCTCCCGCTGCCTTGCCGTTGGCCTCTGACACCGGGCTCTCACTGCCCTGACATTCAATGTGTCTCCCACGGAACTCCTCAAAGAAATGACATACCATCGTCTGCAAAATTATAATTTAACGGTATAAAGCTTCAAGTCACGTATTCCAAAAACTAGCTAAGGATTTTTTTTTATCACATAAACTATACATTAAATATTTTTGAGGTATTTCAGAGAAAATTGTCAAAGGCTCGAAGGAGCTGTGCTGGAGGTGTCATTCCCTGCGTGGAGAATGGTCTTTGGTATGTGACAACCAGCTGGGTGTCGGGGGGGGGGTAGTGGGGGGAGACAGGGGTGGGTGGGTAAGGGCCCCTGGGGGGGCTGGACTAGAGCTGGTGTGTGTGTGTGTGTGTGTGTGTGTTTGAAAGGGACCCCGGAATCCGGGAATGCGGCTGTGACTCGGGCTGGTGGGGCTTGACCCCATCTGCCCACAGGTCACCATAACTAGAAAGTTCCACAACCAGACCGGTCCCAAGCCAATTCCTAACTATCCAGCATGGGACAGAATGGAGATCTCTGGCCTCTGATCCTTGGACCTTAAATGCTGGGGAGAGCAAGTGACTTACCCAGCAGGGGGTGTCCCCAAAGCCCCGCCCCTGCAAGCCAGTGCTCAGTGCGATGCGGCCGGGTGACAGCGGGAGGAAGAAGGAAGGGGTCCAGCCGCCCGCCTCCAGCGCCCAGCAAGGACAGCAGAGTGTGTGTGTGTGTGAATGTGTGAGTGTGTGAGTGTGTGTGTTTGAGCAGGGGTGGGGGTTGGTTGCTGAGCAGGAACAGGGACTCTTAGGATTCTGTCCCAACACCCAAAGGTTCTAGAAGCATCACTCAGATCGGCTGCTTAAAAAGCTGGGAGAATAGCGAGTCGATAAGGACAAGAGAACATTTCACACACATCTTTGGTTCCAGAAAAAGGCACTCATCGACCTCAGTATCCTCTCTCCCTCCCTCTCCTTCACTTCTCTCTCTCTCTCTCTCTCTCCCTCTCTCTCTCTCTCCCTCTCTCTCTTTCTCTCTCTCTCTGTCGGCGGCGCACCTGCAGGGCAGGGCCGGCGCCCCTGGTCGTCGGCGAGGGAACTCAGCCTCCAGCACAGGTCCTGGGGGGGAATCTTTGGTATCGGGCGTGATTTATCCAATCACAGACAAGAACGTTTGCGTGAGGTAGCCTTTACCTGGGGTGGGGGGGCATTTCACTAGAAATGTCTTTTGCATTCTCAAGGGGGGAGGGGTGACTACCTCCCTGGGAGGCAGCGGGCGCGCAGGGTTTGGGGGTGAGGTTCCTTCGAGCCTCCAGACCTTGAACCGCGGGAAGGGGGTTCTCAGGATCCCGCTGCCGGCCAGCCTTGGAGGTCACCTTGGAGGTCCCCAGGAAGGGAGGAGAGGCGAGCAGGGGCGCGCGCTGCTCATCTTCATTTCCGACCCTTCCTTCCCCCTCGTCAGTTGTGTGTTAATTTTTGTTTTGTTTTGTTTTTTGGCAAAAAAAGAGCAAGCCGATACCGCCGTCCTCAGCGTCTTCTCTCCCCCTTCGTAGACAAGAGTCGCCACCCAGGCTCGCCCCCTGCGTCCCCTCCGGCCCAGAGCGGCAGCCCCGAGCGCCGGGAGGTGTTGGGGGAGTTCCAGAAGGTTCCTCGCAGGTGGCACCGCCGTGGCCCCGGCACGCAGGGATGGGGGGCGCCTCCCGCGCGCTCTCGGTGCTGGTTTCTCCGCGCGGCATCGGGACGGGCTTTCGGGTTTGCTTCTCTGCTTTCCGGGGTGTGTCTCTCCCTGGGGTGCCATCAAGGTGCCTACAGATAAAGTGGACGGACGGCGGCGCCGGGCCGGCGGCGTCTGGAGCGGACCGCACGGGTGGGCCGGCCGCCCGCTCCGGCCCGTCCCCGGGCAGCCCCGCGCCGGACGTTAAGGCAGGCGGCTCTTGGCACGAGGAACCCTGGCGGCCGGGGGCGGCTGTGCCGGCGGGCTGGTCGCGGTGCGGGCGTGCGCTGCGAGGACCCCGCGCGACGCGGAGGCTTTGGCGACTTCGGCGCGGGCAGGGCCGGGGGAGGAGGGCTGGCGCGGGAGGGCTTGCTCTCCGAATTCCTTCTGTCAGATACCCGGTTTATATTTCTCGTATGTGCTTCTTGACCCGCTTTCGGGGACGCTGCGGCGAGCCCTGGTTCTCCCCGGGGCCCTCCGGGCGTCCCGGACGCAGGGAGCTGGGGAGCCCCTTCGGCCACCCCCTCCCGTCTGGGGGGGTGGAGGGCTCCCTTTGGCCTGGGGGGGACGGGAGGCGGGGGAGGAGGGGTCCTTCTTGTGCACTGGGCTGGGGGACGCGGGCTGCACCCCTCCAGCGGGCCCCCCGCGGGCCGGGCCGGGCCGGGGGGGTGGTGGCGGCGCGGGCTCAGGCCTTGGAGAAGGTGGCGGCGGCGGCGGGGCCCGCGGGGGCGGCGCCCGGCTCCTCCGCCCAGCGGTTCACGCAGCGGCGCCGCGCGTTCATGAAGAAGTTGCTGACGGTGTTGAGCTCCAGGCCGAGCTGCTGCGAGATGGTGACCTGCATCTCCTTGGACGGCCGCTTGTTCTCCTTGAAGATGGCGATGAGCGTGCGCCGCTGCAGGTCGGTGAACACCAGGCGCTGCTTCTTGGGCTGCAGCGCGCGCTCCTTCTGCTGCTCTTGCTCCTTGCGCTTGCACGCTGCGGCCGGCGCGGATGGGAGACAAAGACGGGGCGCGGCGTGAGCACTGCTCCACCGGCCGGCACCCCCCACCCGCCCCGCCCCCAGGGCCCCCGGCGCCCCGCGGGCGCGCCTCGCAGCCCCCCGGATGCTGCGGGAAAGGGCGCGTGAGTTCTGTGGCTCAGGGTAGACGCGGTGGGAGAGGCTGGGAACCACTGGGAGGTGTGAGCCACCCCGGGAACCAGCCCCCCTCCCCAGCGACGGGAGTACCAGTCCGTGCCTCCTTCCCGGGGCTGTCGGGCAGGCCTGACCAGCTTAGGGACCCTGTGTCGTGAGGCTGATGTGACTCTGAGACCCAGCACCCCCCCACCTCCACTCCCGGAGGCTGAGGCCCACACTTGCCCAAAGGATCCCCTGGAGCCGGGAGGATCTAAGACCCGGGCAGATGCAGGACAGACACCCCCCCCCCCCACCTTGCATTGGGAGAGGGGAGAAGGCTGCAGAAGGCTGGCCCAATGTCCCCAGCTGGCGGTGGCTGGCAAAGGGGAGCTGGCGGCACCTCAGGGTACCCGGCAGGACCCCAGGCTGCTCCACAGGGCCCCAGCTCCAGAGTGGACCCTGCCCTGGAGACAGTGGGGCCAGTGGGTGGGAAAGATGAGCTCCCCAGCCAGCATTGGCCACGTCCCTCCAGGGCTCTCTCGGAGTCTCACTTTCCCTGCCAGGTACTAGTCAGGGACCGCAGGAGGTAGAGAGTCCACCCTCCCATGCCTCTCCACCCCAACTAGTCTGTCACCCCCACAAGTCGCTGGTGCTGTGAGCTACAGCAGTAGAGCCCTGCCCCCAGCCCTAGTGACCCACTGGGACCACACACCAAACTGGTTTTTTTTGGTTCCAGAAGAGTCTGAGCCAGATGGTGTGCCAGATCAATGTCCACACAGGTCTGCAGAAATAGATTGATGTTCCCTGTATTGTGGCTCATTTCTCAGGGACAAGGGGCTCTCCCCGGAGGGGAGGACCGACACCCCACTTCACTCCCTGTCTCCCCCTGACCTGAAACACACAGCGCTTCAGGGATCTTTCAGGTTTTATGATTAGATAAGGGTGATAGTTGGAGATTACTGGACAGTTTAGAAAAGCCTCTAATGAGAGAGAGAGAGACAGAGAGAGAAGAGGGGGAGAGACAGAAGGAGATAGAGAAAGAAGGGAGGGGTGGGGAGAGGGGAAAAGGGGAGGGAGCAGGAGGGAGAGGGGAGGGAGAGGAAGGGTGGGGAGAGAGGAGGAGAGAAGGGAGGGGGAGAGAGAGGACAGAGAAGGAGAAAGAGAAAGGGGCGGGAGGAGGGGGGAAGGGGGAGAGAGGGAGAGGGGAGGGAGAGGGGGAAGAGGGAGGGAGAGGGAGAGAGATAGAGGGACAAGTGCGAAAGATGGTAGGAGGAGAGGGGAAGAAACAGACAAAGCAGGCAAAGCTGTAAGAGACACTCTCCGAGGGGGAGGGGGAGACGAGCGCTGTATCCACGAAACAAGAACAGGATCCGGTGCCATGAGCAGGACGGTGAAGAGGGAAGACGGTGCTCTTAGAATTACACAGACCATCGCGGCCGGACCAGCGCAGGACTGGACGCAGCAGTGAGTGAGTGTCCCCGGCAATAGGACGAGGCAGGTGCTGAGATGGGAGACGAGAGAAGGGTGACAATGAAGTGTGGACTGGGCGGGCCTGTAATCTGATTCAGAAGCGGTTGGAAACTGGAGGAAGAGAGTCCCAAGTAAATAATGAAAAAAAAAATCCACGTTTGAAGGACATGAGAGTCCCGCTTAAGGGCCTATGATGTGCGGCTGGATGGGTGAAAAAAGACATTCCCTGAGGCTCGTCCTTGTGAGATTTCTGAGAGGCAGAGTAAAGAGAGGAAAGTAAAAGTTCCCAGAGATGAAAGCCAGACGTCCTGGGAGGGTCTAAGAGTCCTGGTGGCTTTGGCTTCTCAAAAACTAGGAGGCAGGGAAACAACGTCTTCAAAATTCTGAGGGAGATTCTGTTCAGCCGGAATCGTGTGGCCGCGGGGCGTCAAGCAGGAGGGCGGCCTGGAGACCGAGTCAGGCAGATAAAAGTCTCCAAAAGTTGACTTCTGGGCACCCTTTCTCAGAAAACTCCTAGAGGATGTGTTTCACCAAAACGAGGAGGTAAATTAAAAAAGGCAATTGTGGCTTCAGGAAGTGTGATTTCCTTCTAGGAAAAGGAGGGGATCCTCCAGGTGATGGGGAGGACGGAGCCTAGAAGACCAGGGTCAGCGGCACCGGACCGGCCCGGGGGTCAGCCCCACCCAGCGCCAAGCCAAGTGGCAAGGGGACACGACCTAATACGTGTGGAAAGTCCTGGTGAGTCTGTCTGCGTCTTGTTGGGGAGTGTGGGAAGAACCAGTAATCGGCAACCACTAACTCCTGGAGAAACAAACAGTTGTACAAGAAAGAAAGACGCCGTCCTGGCACTCTGTGTGCCTCGGAGGTGGGCAGCGTTCACCGAAAGCGTAATAATGTAATGCTGAATACGGGTTCAGCCAAAAGACTGTGTTCGTCAGGATACCGAGAGGCCGACGGAGGGAAGGGTGCGGTGGGTGTGGTGGATGGCGAGGCAAACCGGCAGGGAGCAGTGCTCCAGGGAGCCCTTTGTGTGCAGAAGAGGGGACAAGGACGTGAGATCTATTTTGTCTGCGTTAAGAGGCCAGGAAGGGGACTGACCTCCCATCTCTTTGGAACTTGGCCACCCTGTGAGGGTCAGGGAAGGGATGAGGTCCCCCATTCTTTCAAAGAGAAAGCGGAGTCTCCGGCATCATGTCCAGGGTAGGAGTCAAGACTCAGGCCTAGGCTTTGAATTTCAGAAGAGGCCCTGCCCGCCCAGCAGCTGTCATCTTCGGCTGATGTACTCATCCCTTTTTCCTTCACTTTACTCCCAAATTCATCGCACGTCTACAGTGGGGACCAAGATACCAGAGGGATGCCTGGCTGGCTCGGTGCACAGAGCAGGAACTCTCCACCTCGGCGGGGCAGGGGGGTGGCGGTCCTGAGTTCAAGACCCACTGGGCTTAAAGCTTATGTAAAAAAAAAGAAAAGAAAGCAAGCTCACAAGAGCCTTGCGTGTCTCTTGTCCGTTAATCTTTAGGGCGACTCCGTAGGCAGGTGCTGTCCTTGTTCACTCAGAGAGTGTAAGCCTCTTGCCCAAGTCCAGCAGGGGCCAGTACAAGAGCCACAGCGATGGGCCGGACTGGGAGGGAGTGAAGACAAGGTTCCCCTCTCTCCCACTGCTTCCCCTTCTCCAATCAAGAGCCTAATGGGGGCCCCAGAGGCAGGGGCTGGGGGAGGGGCCAGGCCAAGCAGAGTCATGAAAAAACTTGGTGTTTTGTCGATCACAGCAAAAAGAGCCCCCCCCCCCGTCCCCGTGTTCAATCTAATTACAGCTCCTCACAGCCCCAATCGATCTGGGCCCCGTCAGAACTGTTTACCAGGAGCAGCTTTTGTCCTGGTTTCCATCCCCCACAGCCCCCCCGGAGCCCAGCCTGGAGGCTCAGGGGTGTGAGTGCCAGTGGGGGGGTCGGCCCAAATCCCCCCACATCAGCGTGGCCACCTTCCCCTCAAGAGCATCCTGTCTGGTGCCCAAGCTCACTTCCACTGGCCCAGTGGTGCCGTCTTTGTGTCCCCTGGGCAGCCGGGGAGGAGGACAGGCTGTGGGTACGAGCCCCTTTACAGAACTGAAAGCCCAGGCTGGGAGACAGGGACCGACCCAGAGCGGGGCTGGGAGAGCGCCTCGAGGGGAAGCCTGGACTCACCCACAGTGCCAGCCACCAGCCTCCTACTGCGATGCCACGATGCCACACGGTGGCCACCTCTTCCAGGAAGACCTCCACTGGTGACTGCCCCTGTGGCTTCCACCTCCATCCCCTCCTCCGCCCCCAGCCTTCTACCAACGCGGCCTCCTCCATCAGTGTCACTTCTGCCCCGCCACCGCCACCGCCACCGCCACCGCCTGTGCACCCCTCGCCACACCACCACCACCTCCGTCCCCACCTCTGCTTGCCGCCCCAGCGTCACCACCTCCCCTGCCATCACCTCCACATCGCCTCTCTCTATGGCCTCCCCCGTCCTGCCTCCTGTTGGCTTCGCCCGCACCCAGCACCTCCTCCAGTAACCTGGTCCACACCGCGGGGCCCTGCCGCAGGGCCACCTCCTATGTGCCCAGCTCAGGAGGACTCAACCCTGTGTCCCTCACCAGGGGCTCCCAGCCTGTGGCTGGGGGGCGGGAGTGGCCCCAGATACAGACCCTCGCCACCCACCATGGTTGCCATGGCCCCTGGGGGAGCTACCAGACAAGCTTGGGGGACCAGGGGCAAGTCAGTGCCCCCCAACAGGTCCTCAGGCCTGGGACGCTGCCCCCTTTCTTTTCTTTATTTTGGTGGAGCATTACAGTGGCCACTCTACCCAGGGGCCCCGCTGACTGTGGGTTTGGGTTCGCCCTCCAGGCCTCCAGAGACTAAAAACAACTGACTCTGGGGTGCCTGGGGGACTCTATAGGTGAATAGTCTGCCTTTGGCTCAGTCATGGTCCCTGGTCCCGGGGGTGTTGGGATGAGCCCAGCAGGGAGCCTGCCCCTCCCTGGCTTGTGCTCTCTCTGACAAATAAGTAAATAGAAGCTAAAAACAAACAAGCAAAACCCCACTGATTCTGAGATGCTCTGATCTTAGAACAACTGGAGTCCCACCCCTCCCACCGCTCTCACTCTTTCTGGAGTCCGGGGATGAAGAGGGTCTGGGGCTGGGTCCTGGGGGGGGTTCCCAGAGGGCCTGGGATAAGATCCCAGGTGCTGCAGAGACCAGGGGCCCTCTCCTGGGGCCAAGCCCCTGACCGGCACCAGCAAGTGAGCCAAGAAGGGCCCCGGCCAGCTGGCCAGCCCCAACCCCGGGCAGGGCTCCAGGCAGGAGGGGCGGAGGTGCACTGGGGGGGGGGGCCTCAGGCTCCAGATGGAAACCTTCGCATGGCCTGGGCCTTCCCAGCTACGGGAAGGGATTGAGCCAGAGAAGTCTTGAATGTCATGGTGGGGCTGAGTTGAGGTGTTGAGGCCCATGGAGGGGTCACATGGCCATGACTTCCCCACCCCCACCTCAGGTCTGGCCTCAGGCCTCTGCATCTCTCCCAGAATCTTCCCGGAGAGGCACAGATGGAGACACTGTCCCAGCCCAAGAAGTCCTACCCACCTCTCAAGGCCCCGCAGAGGTCACCCGCCCCCAGGAAGCCCTTCTCTTCACCCCAGAAGAGCCCGGCTCCCTCCCCAGGGGCCCCCAGTCCTGACCTCCTGGGCTCAAGCCTGATCCTGATTTCCCTCTGCTGCCCAGCGCGGGGTGGGCCGCCAGAGACAGCTGGCCGGCAGCGTTTGTCCGTTTGTCCAGTGACTGGCACGTCTCCCCGCCCTCCTGGGGGGGTGGGGGCAGGGAGGGGGTTCAGCCCAGACTGGCCCAGGGAGACGCAGCCAGCCACTGGCCGGGTGGGCCGCTCAGGGGAGCGGGACCCCCGGAGCACCCCCAGCAGCCTGCGCCCACCTGAGGTCAGGGAGCGAGCAGCAGGGGCCTCCAGGCCACTCACCCTCATCGGATGGAAGAGGATCAGGTCCGCGGGGGGGGGGGGGGGGGAGCAGGTCGCACCTGTCCCCCCAACATCACCTGATGGCCACACTGTTCCTTCTGCCTCCTCCTCTCCTTCCTCCCCCTCCTCCCCTTCCCATCCGCCCTCCCTCTCCCTGCTCCCCCCCTCCCCTTCTCCCCCTTCTCCTTTTCTCCCTGCTCCTCCCCTGCCTCCCCTTCTATCTCCTCCCATCTACTCCTCCTCCTCTCCTTCCTCCCCCCTCCCTCCTCCTCCCATTGCTCCTTCTCCTCTCTCCTCCCATCCCGTCTCCCAGAGGTACACTGTGTCTCGGCCACAGAACCAGGCAGGAGCAGGTGCCTGGGGGCGGGGCAGTGCCGCTCCAGTGGGCTGCCCATGTGGGCATCTTCCTTTCCTCCTCATCCTATCGGGGTGTCCACGTGGGGCCACCACAAACACATGGTGGAGTGGAGGGTGATGTGTGATTGAGGCAAGTAACTGGGACATCGTGCCACCCCAGCAAGAGTCATCCATGCACTCGCAAAGGGCTGGGCTGTGGGCAGTGGCCCGGGTGTCTGGAGGGGTGAGGAGGGGAGAGCCCCGAGGGTGTGTAGGAAGGCACAGGGGCCAGCCGACAGACTTCTGCATGACAGGTGCATGTCAGGGGGAGGCGGCATGAAAACCTGGGGGTGTGATGTGATGAGGCAGGGGGCAGCAGAGATGTGCCCAGCAGCCGCCCCCCCCAGGCTCACTGTATCTGAGCAGGGGTGTGGCCCGGGGACCACGCAGACCCTCAGGATGGCTCCCGGCTGCCTGCCCCGCCGTGCGGACCAGGGTCTTGGCTTGGGGTCTTGCATGCACACTCTGTGCACACTGGTTTCCTGCTTTATCAGGTGAGCACAGGGACCCCGTGACCCCGAGGTCTCTGTCAGCAGGAGAGAACCCCGGGGGCAGGGGGTTGGAGCATTGAGTTGCCTTTCCTACATGCACCCAGGCAGGACCCTGGGCCCGTCCCTTCCTCCAGGCTGGCTTCATGCTTTTATCAAACAGCTGCTGTGTGCCAGGTGCTGCTAGGGACAGCTGGGGGCAGGGCGACCTCACTTGCCAGCCGAGCTCTGGTGTCTGAGACGGGTCACTAATGATCCCAGGGAGATGGAAAGCAGGGCGGGGGGCTGACTCTGTTTGGAGCAGGGAGGGGTGGAGGTGGCACGTGTGTGGTGGCTGGGAGGGGCAGCTGGGAGCCCATCTAGGATGCTCCAGCAGGGGACAGAGCTAGGTGTGCAGGGTGGGCCTGGCTATCTAGCCCAGGTCTTGGATGGGGAGGGGGGTCTAGTGACGCCCCGCCCCGAGGGCAAGAGGAATGAGCCAGAGCGGCCTGGGAGGGCTGGGTTTGACAGGGAGGGACAGGAGCTGGGCTGCAGCACCAGAATTCAGCAATGGGGTCACCTGTCCCTCTGTGTCCATGCCCAGGGCAACACCTAGGCCCCTCTGCTTGCCCTCTCCCCTGCACCCCTGCACCCCTGCACCTGGGCTCAGGATGGGGGAGTGTGGGCGCTGGAGCTGGAGCCGCTGTCCCCCCCTCCCCTTTCGGCCACCTCCTGTGCTCAACTTAGGCTTCCTGGAGCAGACAATTCAATACGGAGCCTGGTCTCCGGCTGGGATGATGACTGGTTTCCTTGGTGACGCGTCCCACCCCAGCCACCAGCTGCCCAGGCCCAGATGTGGGGAGCCCTGATGCCACCACCCTGATGGCTTTTCCCCACTGGCCTGAGCTGCCCTGAAGCTTGCCCCATAGCCTCCCCAGCCCAGAGATGGTGGGTGACTTGCCCAAGGTCACACAGCTAGTCCCTAAGGGGACCTGGAGTCGATACATGGACCTCTTTATCTATACCCTGTACCCCTGGGGGAGCCCAAAGGGGGTCCCCATGGTGGGCGTGGAGTCATCTCCAAGGAGACAGGTGCACAGCCAGACCCCTGCCCTCAGGCGAGGACCCTCAGAGGCCTCAGCCTCCTCATCTGTCCTCACGGCCTGTCTCCGTCCACTCTCTGTCCCTTCCTCCCCTTCCCCTTCCCTGTCTGCCCCCCCCCCCCCGCACACCTCTCCCCCAGCCAGTGGCTGGCCTTCCTCCCCGCTTCTCCACTGCTCCCCCCAGATGGGATCTTAATGGCCATGTTTTCAAATTAGTTCTGAGCCTTTCAAAGACTTAGCAGGGAAATGAGTGTTTCCGCAGGGCCCCCCTCCCGGAATCCATTTGGAGGGTGCCTGGGGGTGGGGGCCTGGGGTGTCGGGGGTGGCTCCCACTCAGACTGTGGGCCGTGGAGACCCCCCCATTCGGACACCCTCGCACGGGGAAGCGGAGCAGACACACCCATCCCCAACCTGCACACGGCGTTTCTTTTTAAAAACCTATTAAGAAGCCACAGAGGCCAGCAGCTGGAAATGGATTTGAAAAAGATGACCGGAAAGGAACCAGCGATAAGAAAAAAAGAACGGAGAGGCCAACCCAGAAAGGGGGACGTGACCCAGCACCTCAGTGATTAGGAAAAACCAATCAACAGATCAACTCACAGAACTCGGGTCTCGCGCCCAAGTATTCCCGGGCAGGTGGTCAGGGGCTGGCCCGGAACCGTCTGGAACGGCCTGACTGTCCTCTGGCTAGGAGGTGGCCAGGGCAAGAGGGAAACGGCCCGCAAGAACAGGACGTAGCCGGCACAGATGACCAGGGAGGCACTCTCTTTCCTCATGTGGAATGTTCTGCGTGTCGTGGAGAGGGAGGCAAAACAGAACAGGCTTCCCGAGATGTTGTTTTAAAAAGAGGAAAAGGAAAACGGAACGAGGACTTTAGCTGCCCAATTAAGTTGCGCTGGCTCCGTAGGGCAAAAGCGGGGCGGCAGGAAGGAGGGTCCTGGAGGCCACCGTCTTGCTCCCCTTAAATCTGGAAGGAGGCGAATGTGTCCAGCACTGGGAATGATAATGCAGCCTTGTCTACGGAGGCGGTGGAGAGAGCGGCGGCTTGGACTGGGCTCCCCTGCTTCTGGGGGCCTGTTTCTCTATCCAGTCAGTCCCTGCGCTCCCACTAGGCTGGGGCTTCTAGTCTCCATGTGGGGAAGGGACGCGCGCAGTGGGGGGCGGGGCGGGGAAGCGCCGGTCGCAGGCCTCCGACGCAGCCAACACCCCCAGGCTCACGCGAAGCACCCCCGCCCCAGTCCCGGGGAGCCCGCGCTGGGTGGTCCGCGCTCCCAGCGCTGCGGCCACGAGGTCCGGAGCGCACACCCCGGCCGCCCTCACGCGTGTGCCCTACAGGGGCCTGCGGTCTCTGCACGTCCCGCCTGGCTGCGGACGGCGGGTGCACTGCTGGCTCCTCTCGGGTTTAAGGTGTCCCCACGCCCGCGGAGGACAGAGGTGCGGAGTGCGGCACATCTCCGTGGCCGGTCTCCACGGCAATGCCGGGCGGCGCTCGCCTTGTGGGGGAAATCGAGGCCCCGACGCTTCCCCCAGCTCGCGCGCGCGGATGCGCCTGGCGTTCGGAGAAGCGCGGTTCCGGCTCCCCGGTCACTGTGGTTGGGTGCGACCCTTTCTCCACTCCAAGCATCCGGGAGTGGAGTCGGGCAGTAACTAGAGGCCCGCGAGACAGGTGTTCCAGCGGGCCCAGCTGGGGGCGCATGGATGACCCCGTCGCCTGCACGGGTCTGGGGGAGAGGGGGATCCCGGCCGCGGTCCCGAGGCGCATGCGGCCCCCAACACGCCAGACCCAGATCCGAGCACAACCTATGGGCTTCCTGAGCCAGCGCCTGCGCCCCCGTGTCCTAGCGCGAATGCGTGTGCGTCTGCGGGTGCAGCCGGAGGGAAACGCCACCCGCGGCCCCGGGCGCACCTGGCTTTGCTCCCCTGCAGGTCCCTTCCGCAGTCACCGGTCATGGACCCATCTCCTTGTACCTGTTTCCATCTGCTGCGAATCAGTGACTTGTTGGGTCTAAGCCTCCCCACATCTGCCTGCAGGGAACAAGTTCACGGGCAGGACGGTTTCCTAAACCCACCCACACCTACGCCTACTTAGCAGAGGGGAAACTGAGGCCGCAGGTGCTGCACACTGCCCAGGGTCCCACGGCAGCCCCTGGCTCCAGGCCTAGCCTCTCCCATCCCCCGCTAGCACTGCCTTCCTTATTGATCAAGGGCCATATTTAATTAAAAACTTGATTCAAACCAGCTTGAGCTCCCCTGGTTAAGCTGAGCTTGCTGCTACACACAAAGACGCAGGCCATCCGCAGGGGCGCATCGCTCCTCATAGCCGCTCTAGGCTTCCCCGCCTCCCATCCTTTGTGCTCAGGGGTCTACCAGCCAGGAGCTAGGGCATCTGTAGCTGTGGGCAGGAAGCTTCCTGTGCCTCTTAGGATCTAGGGAGGCTATGCAGCGGCAGGATGCTAAGCAGGGGTGTGACGAGCTCCAAAGTGACCATAAGAGGCACCCTCCACCCTCCAGCTTTGAAGGAGAGAGCACGGGGTGGGAGTGGAGCCGGGAGACCAGCAAGGAGGAGGAGGAGGAGAGGGAAGCAGCACCAGAGGTCACTCAGACTAGAGTGGTGATGGCTGACAGAAGCAGCACGGAACAGGAGAGAATTTAGGGAGGAGAGCCCCTGCCCAGTTCTGGGATGTCAGGCTAAGGGGACTTGAGAATAAAGGAAAACCAGCATCGGCCCCTCACTGTGCGCACCTGTCCATGTGCTTACCTGTGATGGGGGGCTTGTGACTGTCCCTGTCTTGCGGACACAGACGGGAAGGGGTTGCTGGGTTTGGGGCGCAGGGAGGGCTGGAAATCCAATGCTGAGCCCAGGCTGACCCTGAGGGCAGCTTCAGTGAGGAGGTGGTTGTCCAGGGAAAGCAGGGGCAGGGATGCTGGTGGCTCTGAGTCGGATGGGGGAAGCCGGGACCCGGTCCCCACACCCCCTCCCTGGGGGAGCTCACATGGGCCCAGGATCCTGTAACCCTCAGAGGAGCCCCAGGGGAGACAAGTAGGCCTCGCCAGCCAGCCCCCACCGTACACCTGCCTGAGGGGCCAAGCTGCTTATAAACTGGAACTCACCATGACCTTGACAGACATCTTCCTGTCCTTTGCCTCAGTCCCCTGAGGCTTCTTCCAGCCTTTGTCCCTGCTGGACCACTTGCCTGGACTGTCCCCCCATTTGCAGGAGGTGGGAACCCCGGCATCTCAAGCCCTCCTTTCAGCCCCTCCAGACTCAGCCCATCAGGGGCTGCACCCCCCACCCCCGGGGCACCCTGTTTCTCACTGGGGAAACGGAGTCTGTTCTCCCTCCTGCTGGAACTGGCTCTGTCTCACACTGTTGGGGGAGACTTTGGGAATTGCCTTCCTTTCTCTTGGTCTCAGCTTGCTAGTCTGTAAAGTGGGCACAATAATCACATCTAGCTTCAACGGTCGTTCCAGATGATTCCATCTCTCATTCCTGGTGGCTGAGCCCAGGAAAGGGGGAGGGCTTCAGGCACCCCAGCCAGCCCCTTCCCCATCTCCCTGTCAGCACAGAATCCCTGAACCCGGGCAGGGTCCTGGGGCTGTCCCAGCCAGGTTTTGCAGTTTGGAGGGAGGGCCCGGTTTGGGGGTGGGGGGACCCAGGGTCGCTCTGAGTGTCTGCAGAGCTCACAGGGCTGGGACACACACAATCCCAGACCTGGTCTACCTCACTCCATGCATCGCTGTGGGAGCGCGCCAGACTCCCTGCCCACTCTCCGGGCATCTCTCAGATCCCGGGCTGCCGTGGGGGCCCCCCTGAAGATGAGAGATGCGTGGGGGGAGTGGTTAAGCGAGGTGGCCTCAGGGTGCAGGGTCTGGGACTGGGCCCTGAAGGTCTCCATAGGGAGCAGGTGACCAGAAAACCTCCATAGGCACCTACTAAGGGGCGTCTAACTGGGTCCATTTCTCAGATGAGAAAAGTGAGACTCAGACCCTCACCTCCCACCCCACCAGCGAGTGAGAGAGCCCCGGGGAGGCCCATGTGGTCAAGTCCCCTGCTGGGGTGTCCTGGGGGGATCTGTAAGATGCGAGGGCCCCCTGCTGCTCAAAGTGAGGTTTTTACTGAGTTCAGGTGTCCCTGGGCAGGCCTTAGGAAAGCTGCACAGCCCTCCCAGTGGGACTCCGGTGGACTCGGACCCTGTGGGCTGGGCCCCTTCCCGCTCAGACACCCCCTGCTGCCCCTCCCCCCCCGGATGGTGACTGCAGAGTGGGGAGGAGGCTGGGGACAGGCAGTGCCGGCCTGACCCTGAGTGAGGGGCTGGTTTGCCTTTTCCTGTCCATTCCTGTCCCCTCCAGACTCCCCAGCCTGGCCTGCTGCCCCCCTTATCAGCATCTTGAATCCAGAAATGGTTCCCTCCTTGCCTCAATTTCCATGCTAGTCCCTACCACGGCTGGGGCACCCGACTCACCAGGGAGACAAGGAGAAGGACAACTGCCTCCACCTGATATTAATTATATATATATTTTCTGATCAGTTACAAAAAATACTTTTCCTCCAGAGTTGCAATTTAAACAATATTTGAAGACGGCCAAAGCTATCGACCAGCGGCAGTGATGAATTAGAGACGGTAATTCGAATTCATCGACCACCCCGCCCCAGCCGAGAGCCCCCCCCCTCACCTCCCCCAGTCCCTCTCCCACAATTCCTGCTTGAGCTCGAGCCAGAGAGGCTTCCAGGAGGAGGCGGCTGGCAAGCCTTACACTCCCGGGACCCTGGAATGGGGTGGGAAGCGGGGGCCCCCGGTGGTGGTGGTGGGGGTAGGGGCTGCCCTGATTAGCAGGTCCCAGAATCTCAGAATGTTAGGCCCAGAACCTGGCTCCTGCCACCTCCCCAACATTTTACAGATAGGTAAACCGAGGCACAGAGAACAGGCAGGCACAGGGCCGTGGGGTGGACCCTGAGGTCTGCCCAGCCAGATTCCTCAGGTGCTTCACAGAAAAAAAAAAAGACGCCGCCCCTTTCCCCTGAGCCCCGGACTAGAGAAGGAGAGAGGTGGGGGCAGACCCAGGCTGAGGGGACCCCACTCAGCTGCTCAGGTCGCTTGGCTCTTCTCGTCGGTGCTTTCCCTTCTCAGTCGCTGTCTCTCTCCCTGTCTCTCTTTGTCTTTCTCTGTTTCTGCTTTGGCTTCTCTTTCTGTCCCCATCTTTGTTTCTGTCTGTTTCTCTGTCTCCAGTTTTGTCCTTTTCCTTTCTCTCTGTTTTTGTCGCTCTCTCCCTCCCTGCGGATCTCTGCTTCTCCGCGTCCATCTCTCTGCGTGTGTCCTTCTGTCTCCTGGCCCCAGTGCCCGCGGTCAGCCCGGTGGCCGGTCCCGGAGCAGCGAGCGGGTAGGCCGGAGGCGGGTAGGCCGGACGGAGGCGGGCGAGGGCGCGGACAAGGCTGGGGCGAGCAAGGGCCGGGCAGCGAGTCCTGCCGCGGGCGTGGGGGGTGCAGGGGGGGCGTGGACCCTGGGGGTGCGCCAGGCCACTGTGTGGGGCACAGCATTGGGGAGGGGGATGAGCCCCGTTGCCTCCCCCTAAGCACTACGATTTGCCGCCACTTAACCGCTTTTCATTTGCGCAGCGACCGGAACTAAAGGCCTCTGCGCTTCCCGGAGCCTAATTACCGCTGGCCTGCCGCGGGCCCGGCCGCCTCTACCTCCCAGGCCCAGCCCCGTGGTGCAGCCGTGGCCCGGAGCGCCCGCGAGTTGTGGGGGGCGCCCAGGGCCTGGGGCGCGGAGCAGGTGGATCAGAAGGGACGCCCCAAGTGTGTCCCTGCCCGCTGGCACCACTCAGCCCGCAGCAGCCCCCAGCTTGGGACTCCTCGCCTGCAGTCTGTCCTTCTGGGGCCCCCGAATGCATGAATGGCCGTGAAGTTACTGAAGGGGAGGACGGTGAGAAAAATGGAAAGTGGCCTGTGTTCTCTGGGGTGTGCCCAAGTCAGACACCCTGTCCCCTTCGGTACCTGCACTGGGGACGAAGCAGAAGGTGGCTGCAGTGGTCAGATGCCACAAGTCAGTTGCCCGGTCTCGAAGAGTGCCACTTAGTGTACTTCAGGCTATGGCCGTGGCCAGAGCACAGGGGTGTGTGTTCGGGTCCCTGATGTCACCTATGTCACCCAGAGCAGGCTGTGGCCACGTGTGCTGCTATGACTGAGGGACCCCTGGGAGCACACCCAGGTCCTGGCACGTGGGGCTGGGTGGGGGGCAGGACAGAACAGGTTTTGCCCTCACACAAGCCCTGTCTAGGTTCCTAACGCCATTTCTAGCTTGTCACCCTGGGTCAGCTGCCACGTACGTAGGAGGGAGAATTTATTCTCCGTTCCCTGAAGTGGAGACTCTAGGAGGCCTATAGGAGGCTCCGCTGGTCACCCCAACGGCACACGGGGGAAACTGAGGACATGTGTGAGTGCAGGCTCCCCCCTGGCTGTCCGGTACGCCTGGGGGCGGGGAGGAACATGCACAGACCCGCTGCAACCCTCGGTGGTGGTCCTCCCCAGCCACCCGCTCCCTGGGCGGACTCCAGGCTTGATCCGTCCCTGCCTTCCCGCTCACTTGGGGGGCGCCCGGTTTGAGAGGCAGCACTCCAGCTCCTCTTGCCCCTGTGCGCAGAGAAGCAATCGATCCGGCCACAGAGCCAGGCCTATTGTCCCCACGGCTGGGGCAGCCACAGCCCCCTCCCCCTGTGGCCAGGGAGAGACACCCCCCTCCAGGTCAGGCCCATTGTGGGGACGGTGGCAGGGGCTCTCCTGCACCCCACAAGCATCAGGGAGAGGGGGCCTGGCCAGGCGGCCTCGCTGGGGGCAGGTGTGGACCCAGCTGTTGTCAGCTGGGAGGGGGGAAGGGAGCGCGGTCCCCAGGGGGCCAGGGGCTGAGAGTCAGCCTGAGAGAGAGCGAGACGGAGAGAGCACCAGAGAGTAGAAGAAAGGACGAGGAGCAGGAGCAGAACCAGAGCGAGCGAATGATAGACAGCGGTCTGTCCCGACAGGCAGAAATGAGGGAGACACAAAACGGAAAAGCCAGGCAGGAGGGCGCGCTCCCGAGCCAGAAGCAACCTCGCAGGGCAGCCGGCTGGGGTGTGAAGGCCTCCGGGCTGCGCAGGCGAGGGTCCCCAGGGCCGCCCCTCCCCCGCCCGTTCTCTGGTGACCTTTGCCAGCGGCCGGAGCGGGGGAGGGGGCTATCGATCGCTGAGGCCGAGCTACAAAGAAGCGCGCGCTGGGGCCGAGGGCTGAGCGCGGGCCTGGCCCTGGCCTCCTCGGCCCCGGCGCCCGGTGCACGGTCTGGGCTCTCTTCCGGGAGCTGGGAGCGCAGCGGGGGGGCTCCTCGGGAGGAGGGGAGTGGCTCCCGGAGGGGACAGCAGCGGCGC